CTTCAGAGGAGAGCTGCTCATATTCATCTGACACCATGTGGCCACATAGTGGGAACTCATCCACTTTTGCCTTCTTCCGCCCCAGGTCAAAGATGCGGATCTTGGCATCTGAAAAGAACTTGGCTAAGTGTGTGTGTGGGGGGGTGGCAAATGAGTCAGTGCAGCAAAACCAGTTTGGGAGCTCTCCCACTACTTACCAGGGACACCTCTGCAGAAGCGAGACTTTGGATACGGCTTGTTCTTACAATACCGGTAACTGCGGAGAGAGGGGGAAACCCAAGATTACAGTTCACAAGTGAACCCAACAATGAACACTTTTAAAGAATCCCTTAAATTAAGACCAAAGGAGAGCTGAGAATGGAGAGGACAACAATGTGTCAATCTCCAGCTGTCTCCACCCCTGGACATTGGCTCTAAGCAAGACATGGTCAAAACAAGGTAGTCAAAAGTTAAGAGAACACCCATGCTAAGAACATAAAAGTAAAAAAAATCTCATTTGATTCCTTATTATGGTTGTATGCTTCGCATAAGGTCAACCGGTCCAAAGGGGCTTTTCCAGGAAAAACAAACAAACAAACAAACAAAAAAAAAACCCTCTCTCTTCAAAGCACTCCAAATTTGCTGACTATTAGTAACTCAGTTCATGCCAGCCACCGACTTTTGGGCACGTGGCATTAAATCCGCCTCCGGACCACGTGTGAAGAGATTCTAACGCCCCCTGCAGGACACACGAGGCGGCCGAGCCCGTTTTTCTGGGCGGACCTTGGCGTCCGAGAAGGGACGGGCATGTCGCCCGGAAATAAGACCGGGATAGCACACAAAGGCCCTGAAAGAGTACTGAGCCTAAAAAGGTGACGAATTTCCAAGACAGGGGGGAAACAAGGCGGACGTCGCTTCCAGTCCGAAAGTGACGGAACATACGTACTTCAGGAGAGTAAATCCACCACCCCAACAAAATAGAGGAAACGATCAAGAGCGGCATGAACTTTTAAAGAAACGGGACAGTATAAACGAAGACCCCAAGCGACCCGGAAGGTATTGGGAAAAAAGTGGAGTCTCTTCCAGTACAGGAAAGCTGCACTACAGCCCCCCCCCAGGGTTGTTTTTAACAGTGAAATACAGTTCTCCCTTTTTCACAGCTACCAAATCGCACGGATTCGGCACTCACCACCGGGCGGGGCGGCGGCCCATGGCGACACCAGGATCTTCAGTGGCTGCAACGAAACAGACAAAGTCGGACAGAAGACGAGAACAGGCCTCAAACTAGGCCAGAAAATCAGCAAGGGCACCTCAAAGACCTACACTGTCTACTACTCACCGCGCCGAAGAAAAAGAGGCGCTCCCACGCCTGCGCGTTCCTTATATAGGCTGACTATCTTCGTGCATAGGTACCATAGAGTCCTGGCCAGGGCGGGTGGACGCTCTGTCACACTTCCCGGACCATAGACGCAGCAGCGTTCTGCGCCTGCGTGCAGGCGTGGCCTCCGCACACGCACAGAACAGGGGCACAGCTGCGTGTTAACAAACGGGCGGCCAGTTGGCCAATCCGGCCTCGCCACATCGGCACCCGAAGCCTGTTTCCGGCTGGCCATCTTGGGTGTAGAACTCTTGCCCGAGGCTTTGCCCCAACTCTGAAAGACATATATTCCTGGAATTAAAAGGAAAGTACCCTCGAGTGGGGCTTACGGCGGCTGCGTGCGTGTTCCTGGAGGTCACGAGGCTGAGACCCGGCCTCCGAGCCTCCCTCTGGGCTCCAGGACTGCACAGCACACGCCACGCTGGAGTCTCGGTCCGCGTTCCTTTGTCGGAGGAGCGGCAGGCTCACCCCGCCCACGTC